CATGTTACCTGCTCCTTGAGTTTGGCAGCAAGTGGGTTCACTTAGCTCTTCAGTGAGCCTAACCTCACTTCAGGATCTAAAGCTGTCTTTTTATTATTTCCTGCTTTTTCCTATTCATTTTTTAGTTTTGTAAGTTTTATTTTCTGATTCCAATACTGGAAAAGTTTTTTTTTTTTTTAATGTGTTTTATTTAGTTTTGAGAGAGAGAGAGCGTGCAAGCAGGGGAGGGGCGGGGGGGGGAGGGGGACAGAGGATCCGAAGTGGGCTCTGTGCTGACAGCAGACAGCCCAGCACAGTGCTCAAACTCACGAACCACAAGATCGTGACCTGAACTGAAGTCAGACACTTAACTGACTGAGCCACCCAGGTGCCCCAAAAACTGGAATATAGTTTTAAAACAAGAAACTTTAAGCCCCTATTATGCCCTCAAAACTCAGAAGGTTTTTGAGATGCCTTTTTCTTCTTTTCTTCTCCCATCCTCCTTATCTTTGGCATGAAGTTAGGGGATGCAAACTCAAACATGTATTTGGAGGCCAGGCAGGCACTCTGAATGAGAGGAGTAAATCTGCCGGGTCCTGTGCCACACTGGAGGTTCCATGGCCTAAAGGAGTTCACATTCGATTTTTTTAAAATTTTTTTTTTTAACATTTTATTTATTTTTGAGACAGGGAGAGACAGAGCATGAACGGGGGAGGGTCAGAGAGAGGGAGACACAGAATCTGAAACAGGCTCCAGGCTCTGAGCCGTCAGCACAGAGCCTGACGCGGGGCTCAAACTCACGGACTGCGAGATCATGACCTGAGCCGAATTCGGCCCCTTAACCGACTGAGCCACCCAGGCTCCCCTCATTCGATTTTTTTTAACACACTGTGCTACCAGTTTGTGACGGTCACTCTAACTGCCAAAGACTATACGTATATGATCCAGTTTATCTTTCTCTTTGAAATTGAATTCATAAAACAAAACTAACCATACTATTACTTATTCTTCTAGACTCTACTGATGTATCACCTACTTAGTGAAGCTTCCTGATTTCACCCAGAGATTACCTTTCCTTTCTTTTAGGATTGGCATAACAACTGTACTGTTGATCACAGTGTATTTTAATTACTTATTTTCATGTCTAATTTCCTGGTAGTTTATTGAGGACAATTATTTATTGATGAGCATGTCTTCTATTAAGAGTTTAATACATTTGCGTTGAACATTGAATGAAGTACTAGGCAACAGGTAGTGATTAAAAGCAAAATGTGGAGGGGTGGCTGGGTGGCTCAGTTGGCTAAGTGTCCAACTTCACCTCAGGTCATGATCTCACGGCTTGTGGGTCTGAATCTCGCATCAGGCTCTGTGCTGACAGTTCAGAGCCTAGGGTCTGCTTTGGATTCTGTGTCTCCCTCTCTGCGCCTGCCCTGCTCGTACTTTGTCTCTCAAAAATAAATAAAACATTTAAAAAATTTAAAAAAAAGCAACAAAATGTGGAGGTCAAGAATATAATAACACTTTTTTTCTTTTAGTGATTTGGAGCACTATGTGTCTACACTAAATTTCAGCTTTGCTTATTATTACTGAGAATTAAGTTACCGAGAATGTTAGTGATGATGTCTGTGTTGTTGGATTTGATGTGGACAAGTCTGTGTACAGATGGTGACTAAACAACTTAATCACAAATAAACAATGTTTTGTCCCCCTGAGAAAAGATGCATTGCTGGGGAAACTTCTTGCTTCCACTTTCATATGGTTAAGAGAGATTAAACACCTGATGATTATGGAAAATATCATCAGTAAAATGAGGAACTTTAGTACCCTTGGACGAAAAGGGATTTGGAATTAGCAGACTTCAGCTCTATTTCTGGTGATACTAATTAGCCATCTGACTACACAAGTCTCTCTGGGTCATAATTTCTTCATCTGTAAAGTGATAAGGAACTTGATGGTTTAAGATCCTTCTATCCCTAAAATTACTTAATTTGAAAACACTGTAATTTCTAAAATATTATGGCCAGTGAAGGAAGTACTTACGGTCAAGCTCTTTCCGAGGAGAATTTGAAGTAATTTCCTGAAATGTATGATGGCTTGTGTGTGTGTTTCTAAGTTCTCTAGAAAGACACCAAAGAAATTGGTAATAATAATAATTACCTCTGGGGGCTAGGGTAGTGGATGGCCACTGGGAAGGATGCCTTCTAGTCAGTGTATTTTCTTTTATATATTTTGAATTTTATAACGTGTGCCTGATTATCTACTCAATAAGAACAAATTTAAATTTATACACATATACGTAAAAAAAAAAAAAAGTCAGAATAAAGGGAAGATAAAGGTCTCATGGTAAGGGAGAGGCATCCTGGGGATGTTAGTACAGAGACTGAGTCTATTAGATGCGGTGCAGTCATTTATTTATTTGTTTATTTTTATTTTATTTTATTTTTTTTATTTTGAAAAGAGTGGATGCACACATGAGCAGGGGGAGGGGCAGAGAGAGAGGGAGAGAGAATCCTGACTTGGGGTGGGGTTTGATCTCATGATCTCATGAGATCATGACCTGAGCTGAATTCCGGTGTCAGACACTTAACCAACTGAACCACCCAGGTGCCCCTTTTATTTATTTGTTTGTTTGTTTATTTATAGGCTCCACATGCAACATAGGGCTTGAAGTCACGACCCTTAGATCAAGAGTTGGATGCTTTTCCACCTGAGCCACGCAGGCAGTCCCCCTTTTAGCTGTTTTTAAGTGCATACATCAGTGTACATTCACATTGATTATCGTGCTACTATCACTACCGTCCATATCCAGAATATTTTCATCATCCCCGAAACTCTCTACCCTTTAAACAGTAACTTCCCATTTCTCCCTTCCCTATTCCCTAGCAACTACCTTTCATTAACTCTTCTTTTTTAATTTTTATAAATGTTTGTTTATTTTTTGAGAGAGAGACAGAGTGTGGGGGCAGGGGAGGACAGAGAGAGAGGAAGACACAGAATCTGAAGCAGGCTCCAGGCTCCAAGCTGTCTGCGCAGAGCCCAACGCAAGGCTCGAACTCACGAACTGCAAGATCAAGACCCGAGCCGAAGTCAGATGTTAAACCGACAGCCACCCAGGCTCCTCTCATTCTTTTTTTGTTTTCTTTTTTTTTTTTTAAATAAATACTGTATTTCCTTTATTCAAAGATAAGGAAGTATTTTTTAAAATTTATTTTGGGGGAGAGAGAAAACATGAGCAGGGGAGGGGCAGAGAGAGAGGGAGAGAGAGAATCCCAAGCAGGCTCCATGCTGTCAGCAGAAGAGCTCGACTCGAGGCTTGAACTCATGAACTATGAGATCATGACCTGAGCTGAAATCAAGAGTCAGATGCTTAGCCAACTGAGTCATTCAGGTGCCTCTACCTTTCATTAATTCTTAACATTAAACACAGTTTGGTCCCAGATGTACTGTATTACCTTTTGAAATCTTATATGTTGATGGCATTAGGTTACTAATATTTTGGTTAGAACTTTTTTTAATACAGCTCAGACTGTTTTCTTTTTTTTTTAATTTTTTTATTGTTTATTATTTTTGAGAGAGAGAGAGACTGAGAGCAAGCAGGGAAGAGGCAGAGAGAGAGGGAGACACAGAATCAGAAGCAGGCTCCAGGCTCTGAGCGGTCAGGACAGAGCCCGCCGTGGGGCTCAAACTCACAGACTGTGAGATCATGACCTGAGCTGTAGTTGGCCGCCCAACCAACTGAGCCACCCAGGCGCCCCTAGCTCAGACTATTTTCTAACTTCCATTGTGGTTTTCATCTTTAAAAAAAATTTTTTTTTAATGTTTATTTTTTGAGAGAGACAGGATGCGAGCGGGGTGGGGGTGGTGCAGAGAGAGAGGGAGACACAGAATCGAAAGCAGGCTTCAGGCTCTGAACTGTTAGCACAGAGCCCGACATGGGGCTTGAACTCACAGACTGCGAGATCATGACCTGAGCTGAAGTCAGATGCTTAACCGATTGAGTCACCCAGGTGCCCCAAATTGTGGTTTTCATCTTTGATCCGTGGGTTATTTATTTTTTTTTTAACATTTTTTTTTTTCAACGTTTATTTATTTTTGGGACAGAGAGAGACAGAGCATGAACGGGGGAGGGGCAGAGAGAGAGGGAGACACAGAATCGGAAACAGGCTCCAGGCTCCGAGCCATCAGCCCAGAGCCCGACGTGGGGCTCGAACTCACGGACCGCGAGATCGTGACCTGGCTGAAGTCGGACGCTTAACCCACTACGCCACCCAGGCGCCCCGATCCGTGGGCTATTTATAAGTATGCCTTTTAATTTTCAAACATGAGGTTTTTCTAGTCATTTTTTTGTCATGGCTTTATAGGTTAATTGCATTGTGGTTAAAGATGTGGCTTATATGATTTCAGTCCTTTGGAAATTGTTAATATTTATTTGCTATTTGGCCTAGTATATCCTTCACCCAGATTCCACATTGTTAATGTTAAATTGTTAATATTTTACCATAATTTCCTTATCTTTGTCACTTTATCCTTCTATTTATACAGGTTTTCTGAATCATTTTGAGAAACGAGTTGTAGACATAATGCTCTATCACCTCTAAATCAGTGTGTAATACCTTTTTAAGAAAATTTTTTTTTTAATGTTTATTTTTGAGAGAGAAAGAGCGCAAGCTGGGAAATGGCAGAGAGAGAGGGTGGCACAGAATCTGAAGGAGGTTCCAGGTTTCGAGCTGTCAGCACAGAGCCCGACTCGGGGCTCAAACTCAAAAACCGTGAGATCATGACACTTAACCAACTGAGCCACCCACACGCCCCTCCTTGTTTTGTTTTTTTTTTTTTTTAACGTTTATTTATTTTTGAGAGAGAATGTGCGAGCAGGGGAAGGGCAGAGAGGGAGACAGAAAATCCCAAGCAGGTTCTGCACAGAGCTGATGCGATGGGGCTTGAACTCATGAACCACGAGACCATTATCTGAGACAAAGTCAGATGTTTAACTGACTTAGCCACCCAGGCACCCCAGTCAGTGTGTGTTCCCTAAAAAAAAGATTCTCTACTATATAACCATAGCACACCCATTAAAATCAGGAAATAAATATTGATATAGTACTGCTATGTAATTCACAGACACCACTCAAATTTTCTCTGATCTCCCAATTACATTCTTTACAGCAGAACCAACCAACCAACCAACCAACAAAACCCAAAAGATCAATAAAAAATCAGCTCCTCCCTCCAGAAACAAAAGCAGAAAAACCTTTTCCCATTCTCCTTGTAATTCTGATTCAGAGATCATTCACAACCATGATGTCTCTTCAGTCTCCCTCAATTTGGCATAGTTCCTCAGTCTTCATTTGTTTTCAATTATCTTGACAGTTTTGAAGAATAGGCCAGTTACTTTGTAAAATGTTCCTCAGTTTGAGTTAGTCTGATGTTTCCTCATAAATAGATTTAGGTTGTGCATTTTTGGCAGGAACACCACAGACATGATGTCGTGTTCTTTTCACTACATCATATCAGGAGGCACTGGCCAACTTGTCCCATTACTGGTTACGTAAAATTTTATCACTTGGCTAAGATGTTATCTGACAGGTTTCTATACTGTAAGTTAGTTGAAAAGTATTTTGCACTTGCTGATAAGTAAACAATACACTTTGTGGCATGATGCTTTCAGGCTATATAAATAGACCATTTCTCATCAAATTTTCACCTACTAGTTTTTGCATCCATTGATGATTTGTGCCTGAATCAGTTATTACTAAGTGGTTGCCAGATGGTGAATTTTTAAAATTTCATCATCCCTTCTGCATTCATAATTTGGCATTTCCCTGTAAAGAAAAGCTCTCTCCCTGTTTTTAAAAAATCATTTAAACATATCAGCATGGACTCCTAAATTCCTGTTTGATACATTTTGCGTTTATTTTGATGCTTGAATTTTCTCTGATTTGGTCATCGGGAACCCTTTCAAGCTGACTCCTATGCCTTTTTCTCATGTCCTCATCATTCTTTGATCTCTTACTTTTTGGCACAAGGTTTTTATGCTCATCTTGTACTTGCACTGTCCCAATGCTAGGAGCACCCATGTCATGAAGGAACTCTGGTTTCTTTTGTTAGAGGATGTATTTATAAACCAAGATCCAGACACCAGATGTGTTCCTTGTTACTGGGGTGTCACTGCTCTTAGGCTCTATTAGAGGTCAGAGGTAGGACATTGTTTTTAAATGTACCCAGGATTTAATTCATCAGTATGACTGAATGATGCCATGAAGAGGTCAGTGCCACTGAAGGAAGTTTACTCATAGTTCTCCAGAAGCAGGAGGCAGTACACCTTGCTATGCAGGGCCACATGGGGGAAGCAGGAGGCAGAAGGCAGCATGGCAGCAAGGAGAAGAAGAAAGCATGGGTGAGAGCCTTTATTGCTATAGTGTGGGAAGCTGTTGGAATGTTCCTTGTTAGGCAGGAAGTGAAACACAGATGTTGTAATTGTTGTTGGAAGGTTTGTAATATTTTTTACATATACATACATATGCATATAAACATATATGAGCATCCATATCTGCCCAAGAATGTTGAAAGCCATGATTTCACTGTTATACCCTCACTGATTTCGTTCTAACGCCACAGCATTTTTTCCCTAGTCTTTCCCCTTTTTGAATTTATTCCTCTTTTTCTGTCATTGAGAATCTGGCTCTCTGTCCTTTTTGCTCCATCCTCCTTAGGTAATAATCTCCTGACTATGAGGACCATCTCATTGGCTCCAGCCTCACTGAAAGTGCTGGCTGAGCACCCCATCTAGTTCCATGAGCCATTTTTATATACAGACAGTTCTCACTTCGTACTGTTCTCATGCATGAAGTTCTGTTAACATGATTTTTAATTCTTTTTTTTTTTAAGTAAGCTCTACACCCAACATGGGGCTTGAACCTACAACCTTGAGGTCAAGAGTCACAGGCTCCACCAACTAAGCCAGCCAGGTCCCCCTAACATAGTTTAATTAAACAAGACTAGTCCCCAAATAACGAGTAGCTGGAATAGCTTCTCCAAAAATTTTAAAATTTACTCAGACCCTGTAGTAGATTAATACTTCCCTAGACATCATTCAGTTGAAGGTAACTTTTTTGTTCTTTCTTTTTTTGGAAAATTACCATCTCTGTACTGCTCTCAGCTGAACTTTACACAGCTCTGCATTTCCCTCTGTCAGTTCCTCTTGGAATAGTGGGTGGGTAGCAGAAAAGAGGATATGTACAATAATGTATTTTTAGTTCTTTTGAACAGGGGTTGCTCCAGCCATTGCTATTGATGACAGGAAGTATATTTATAGCTTCAAGGAAGGAGGGCCCTGGTTTAAGAAAACCTGGGAGGCTGTACTTCATTTATTTATATTTCATTAGAGTTCATTTACACTTCATAGGAAGTTCTTGCCTTAGAAATGTAGTTGAAGTGAATGGACTTAGAAGTATAGGTATTTTCATAAGTATATGCAGTCTGCTCCTGAATTTGGAAAAATCTTCCATTTTGAAATTTCACAATTCGCAATGCCTAAAACAAAGGGCACTACATGATGTGTGCAGAGAATTCAGGTGGTAGCATACAGTTGTATAGTAAGGAGATTGAAGGGGTACTGAATATTGTCCCAACTAAATATTATTCATGAAGTTCTTATTGGTACAGCTTCTGTGATTTTTCTTTCAGAGATTGAAATCAAATACTGAGATTTTTCTTTCAGAGACTGAAGTCAAATATTGTATATGGATCATAAGATAGTTTCATATGACTATCATAAGATAGTCACAAGTAAAATCATTTTGGAGTTTTCCAGTACGCATCACATAACTTTCTCAACAGGTTTGATTGGGACAGGACTTTTGCCCATGACTGTCATGTGCAATGGGCACATTAAACACAAGTTAAATTATTCTGAAGCTTTTTCTCTTTTTCCTACTCCCTTTCTTAATTGAGGGAAGCAAAGAGCTGGTTTCCAAGGATACATCTCCTCTCTTATGCTTGTCTCAGATTGACGCAGTCATGGAAACCAGGCAGTAAACTCATTCTTGGCAGCTACTAGCACTGGTCTGATCTTTTCTTTTAAAAGCATGAGATTCTTTAGTAGTACATTTTGAGAAGGTTGATGCCAAATGATTCCAGGTCATCTCAAAGGGGTTGGGAATTTTGTTGAATAGCTTAAAGCGATTCAGTTAAATATTAACAGGTTTCTAAACAAAACTGCAGTGATTTACCTGAAGATTTTTATGTCTAGTTTAACTGGAAGGATTAAAATTACAGAAATATTAATGTTTTTTAATAGTCCTTTTTTAGGATATTTTAAAACATTCCTAATTTCAGGATTTTATTTTTTGTTTTTAATCTTATGAATTCAAAATACTAAGAGTTGTATAGCTACACTTTATTTAACACAATGAAGGTTTTCATCTGTTTTACTTGAAAAATAAAATCTACTGATGAAATGCAAAAGGAAATAATGGCTCTTTAAAATATTTTTTGGATTCTGAAGCTGACTGCTGTGGTTCAAATCCCATCTCTGCTATTTATTAGCTATGTAACACAGGACAATTTACTTAACCTCTCTGTGCCTTAGTTTTCTTATCCGTGAAATGGGGGATAATAACCTCCACTTCATAGGGTTGTGTTGTCATAAGGAGAAAATGAGTTATGTCACATGCCTAACTCATAGGGAGCACTCAACAGATTTGACTATTCCATTTATACACAAGGAATAAGGCTGAATAATAAATTCAGAGAAGGTTTGTACTGAATTCATTTGTGAAAGACTTAAAAGAAGGAAGGCATTTTTGACATATGTATTATTTTTTAGGTAACAAGGGTGGTGGAGGATTTAGGAATCTCATCCCTACTGCAAATGGATAAACCATCTGTTTTCAGATCCCTTTTAAAGATTTAGTATTGGGTTTACACAATTTAGCAAGATATTTGTGGATTTGACAAACATTGATTGCTTGATTGCTACATGATACGTAGGTGCTGGAATTTCAAAGGTGAATGAGACACATCCTTTTCCTTAGAGAGCTTCCTGTTTTGGAGGGGTGTAGTTGGAGAAGGGTGAAGAAGTGAAGATGACCTATTACAAAACTTAATTCTTTATACATTGTGTTAAGTCCTACACTAATAGACTTTTAAATTTTAAAAAATGATATGGGGATAGGAGAGAGCACAAATTAATTTAAGAAATATGAAGACTAATATGAGGAAACTATAAAGCCTTACTGAAGGATTTTTTAAAGATACAAATTCAATATTTATGCTATGTTCCTGAATGTGAAAGACTTAAATATTATAGATACCATATAGATGTCAGTGCTCTCCAAATTATTCAGCAGATTTAATGCATATTGTTTTGTAAGGCCAGTGGGATAAACCTTTTTTTTTTAATTTTTTTTAAAGTTTATTATTTTGGGAGAGAAATAGTGTGCGCAATCAGGGGAGGGGCAGAGAGAGAGAGGTGGGGGAGAGATAGGATCCCAAGCAGGCCCTGTGCTGTCAGCACAGAGCCCAATGAGGGGCTTGAACCCACGAACTGTGAGATCATGACCTGAGCCAAAATCAAGAGTCAGATGCTCAACTGACCAAGCCACCTAGGCGCCCCTGGGGTAAACCTTTTGAAAGCTTGACAGATTGTATGGTATGGTTCATTTGGAAGAATAAATTCAGTAGTTGAGAAAATTTTGAAAATTTTTGAAAAGAACAATAATCGGAGAGCTGTAGAAATGGGGAAGGTATGTGACACTTGACTCTGTGGATAGTAGAATATATCACAGAGTTAAAGGTATTTAAGACAGGGAGTACTTGGCTGGCTCAGTCAGTAGAGCATGCAACTCTTGATCTTGGGGTTGTAAGTTTGAGTCCATGTTGGGTGTAGAGATTACTTAAAAAATAAAATATTGGGGCGCCTGGGTGGCTCAGGCAGTTAAGCATGCGACTCTTGATTTGGGCACATGTTGTCATTTCATGGTTCATGAGGTGGAGCCCATGTTGGATTCTGCACTGACAGTGCAG